TACACCTCTGGTTCATTTCAAAGGGGGTTGTGGAGGAGAATCTCCCTGGGGGAGATTGGGGCCCAGGGATCAGCCCCACCTGCCTCCCGGCTGGCACTGAAATCAACACCACATCTCCTTCCCTCATGCAAGGGCGTCTTCTGACTGCAGCCATCCCTGCTGGTCACGATTCATAGAATGTTAGAGTTGGAAGAGACCTAGCAGGTCATCTAGTCCAACCCCCTGCACTCTGCAAGAGCAGAGCCGAAAGACAGCCCTTCATACCTACAACATACCCGAAAGGTGGTCGCCCAGCCTCCACTTAAGAATCTGTCCGAGCTCCTCCCAAGACACCTGGGGTTTTTTTTGTTGCAGTCTGCCTTTTGGTTGAACAAAGTCCAAGGACACCTTTAAGACTGACAAAGTTTTATTCCCGGCCTTAAAGCTGTCCCTTAGGTCTTAAAGGTGCCGCTGGACTCAAAGTTTGTTCTGCTGCTTCAAATGGACACGGCGACCCCCTGAATCCCTTTCGGTTGATGATTGAGACAAGGAATCATAGAATGTTAGAGTTGGAAGGGACCTTGCAGGTCATCTAGTCCAACTCCCTGCACTCTGCAGGAGCACAACCGAAAGACAGCCCTACAACATACCCGAAATATGGTCGTCCAGCCTCCCCTTGAAAACGTCCAGCAAAGGAGCCTCCACCACCTCCCGAGACAGTCTATTCCACTGCTCAACCACTCTGACAGTTAAGAAGTTTCTCCTGATATTTAGCTGGTATCGACTCCCTTGTCATTTCCACCCATTAGATCTAGCCTTGCAATCCGGAGCAAGAGATAATAGATCCGCTCCATCTTCTACATGACAGCCCTTCAAATACTTGAAGACTGCAATCATGTCCCCTCTAAGCCTTCTCTTTCCCAGGCTAAACATACCGAACTCTTTCAGCCTTTCCTCATAAAGCTTGGATTCCAACCGTCTCACCATCCTGGTTGCCCTCTTCTGGACACGCTCAAGCTTGTCAACACCCTTCCTACAATATGGTGCCCAAAACTGGACACAGAACTCCAGGTGAGGCCTGATCATAGCAGAATAGAGCGGAACTACCACCTCCTGTGATCTGGACACAATAATGCTTCTGTTAATGCACCCCAAGGTTGCATTAGCTTTCTTCGCAGTCACATCACACAGCAGGCTCATGTTTAGCTTGTGATCAACCAGAACACCTAGATCCCTTTCACACGTGCTGCTGTCAGGGATCGAGGTGTTCTGGTTGATTCCTGCACCTTAAACTGCTGGGCACCCTTCTTGAGTCCCAGAAATGCTTGCCAAGGGAGCAAGACAGCTGGGATCCTAGGCCCGCCCTCACCCTCGAGCACGGTCAACATTTCTAACGCTCTCCACACACCTCTTCGCTTCAAGCAACTTACTTCGCAAAAGACGTGGCCATTCCACCCAATCGTAGGTCAGCTGGAACACACAATCAATCGCCCGCTCTCCCAACATCCAGGCGGAAATGGTGAGCGGAGCAAACTTTGGACGAAGCCAAGGTCAGCCAGTGGGTGGATTGCTCAACAGAGACCCAACTGCCCGTTGCAGGGCATGGCCACGGTTTCTGGGAGAACAGGAAAGCTCTGGAGGGACCGCCGATGGTAGCCGTGGAACGGGGGAGCAGACAGGGTTTGGGGTGACCTGGGTCTTCCGTTGCCCACTTCTCTCGCTCTCTCAGGATGCTCCCAGGATAGACGTTGGGCCCCTTCTCTCACTCACTGTCGCCAAAGTCACCCCCAACCCACCGTGGCAACCTTTGGTCTGTCAATATTATTTTCTGCCAGTGTTCAAATGCAGGACCTCCCCAAGTACTTTTCAAAATTAAAAGCCCCCCCCCCTGCCAGCTGACATCTCCCAACGGTACCATGCGCAGGTCCTCCAGGCTGGATCCTGCCACTCCAAGTGCCAGCAGCCCCTTGAGCCAGAAGAAAGGTTCCCACTTAGCTGTGGAAAGGCAGGACCCACTTCTCAGTCTGAAATTTCAGCTGCGGCCCCCTGTGCTGCAAGGGGGAGGGGGAGGGAAGTAGAATTTCCTCTGTGGGTGTGTGCCCTGAAGTCACAGCTGACTCATGGTGACCTCGTAGGGTTTTCAAGGCAAGGAACGCTCGGAGGTGGTTTGCCCCGTTGTCTGGTATTCCTTGGTGGTCTCCCATCCAAATACTAGCCAGAGCTGACCCGGCTTAGCTTTTGAGATTGGCCTAGCCTGGGTTAAAACCAGTGTTTGTTAATGGGCTTACTCATAAGCAAGTTTGATTTGAACAGGCCGCACCTGGAGTCCTGTGTGCAGTTCTGGAGGCCTCACTTCAAAAAGGCTGTGGACAAAATCGAGAGGGTGCAGAAGAGAGCGACGAGGAGGATCAGGGGCCTGGAGACTGAGCCCTACAAGGAAAGGCTAAGGGCCTTGGGAATGCTTAGTTTGGAGAAGAGGAGACTGAGAGGGGACATGATCCCTCTCTTTAAATATCTGAAACGCTGTCATTTGGAGGAGGGCCAGGAGCTGTTCCAATTGGCAGCAGAGGAGAGGACCTGAAGCAACGGGTTTAAATTACATGCAGAAAGGTATCGGCTGGATATTAGGAAAAACTTTTTCACGGTCAGAGTGGTCCAGAGGTGGAATCAGCTGCCTAGAGAGGTGGTGAGCTCCCCTTCACTGGCAGCTTTCAAGAAGAGTCAAACAACAAATATATACACTGCAAAAACCTTATTTTTAAGTTAAAAGTGTTCTATATGTTCCATCATAAAGTGCATTGTGTATTATTCATAATATTCTAAAACAGGTATATATTCATTACATGCAATATCAACAATAATAATCAGTTTGTACAATCTAATAGCTACCAGTCAATTTACGTCCTTTTTACACAATCAACCCCAACGGGAGTTTCTAGAATTGTACACCCCCTTCTCCTTGCTTGAAAGTCTTCTAAAGGGGGAAGTTTCCTTTTGTGGTTACATTGAAGCCAAGTTATATTAGATATATTATATAATTTTTAGACTCATGAATTATGTCTTTTAACAGCCTTTTGTAGGACCAGCAACAAACATCAATTTAAACTTCAATGTTTAAATATGGGACCGCACGCTCAAGAGGAATGTAAGACAAGCCAGCTGAGGGGCTACCTAATCCAGCCAGAGTGGTCCAAAGGCCTCTGGTGTCTCAGCCGGATCCTGTTTTGCACACTGGACTTTTCTGAGCAGGCAATAGGATAGCATTGTACAAAAATGGTTTTACAAACTTGCTTGGATAAATGGTTAGGAACTGAGGTCTACACTGCTGTGTTTACCTCATTTGGAATACTGTGCGCAGTTCTGGTCATATCTTAAAAAGGATATTATAGCATTGGGAAAAGTGCAGAAAAGAGCAACTTGATTGATAAAAGGGTTGGAACACTTTCCCTATGAGGAAAGGTTAAAGCGCTTAGGGCTCTCTAGCTTGGAGCCATGACGACTGAAGGGTGAAATGATTGAGGTTTATAAGATTATGCATGGGATAGAGCAGGTAGAGAAAGAGGTACTTTCTCCCTTTCTCACAATACAAGAACTTGTGGGTACTCAATGAAATTGCTGAGCGGTCGGGTTAGAACGGATAAAAGGAAGTCCTTCTTCACACAAAGAGTAATTAACACATGGAATTCACTGCCACAGGAAGTGGTGGCGGCTACAAGCATGGACGGCTTTAAAAGGGGTGGTGGTGAACAGTGGGAAGGCTTCTAGTGTCGTGGCCTCACTGGTGAACCTCCTGATGGCATCTGGTATTTTTGGCCACTGTGTGACAAGAGTGTTGGACTGGATGGGCCTTTGGCCCGATCTGAAATTGGTGTCTCTTATGTTCTCATTGTAAGAGAGCCAGTTTGGTGTAATGGTTAGGAGTGGTGAACTCTAATCTGGGAGGACCGGGTTTGATTCCCCACTCCTCCACTTGCACCTGCTGGATGACCTTGGGCAAGCCGTAATTCTGATAAGAGCTATTCTTGAAAAAAGAGCAGTTTCTGTCAGCTGTCTCAGCCCCACCTACCTCACAGAGGGTGCCTGTTGTGGGGAGGGGGAAGGGAAAGGAGTTTGTAAGCCGCTCTGAGACTCTCTTGGGTAGTGAAGGGCGGGGTATAGATCCAATCTCCTCTCTTCTAAGTAGGCTCCTACTTATGTAATTTTTGTGCCACTCAGTATGTCGTACTAATATTTATGCTGCGCTTCAGTTCTTTCTGGTAGCTTCTCAACTTCTACAATCCTCCAGCATTGCTTATGGTATGTTCCCATTTTGTTGATTGTCCTGACTCACCACGTGCAGTACGCCTGGAGTCCCCGTGAGAAAGGCGGCATATAAATAACGCAGATAAATGAGTTTTTAAGGTAAGGCTTCATTTATGCATTGCATTGTCTACTGAATGTCTTCTACGGCCTGATGGTCTTGCGGCTATATTTTGCAATCGAGTCTCAGTCAGGGAAAGACAGGCTACAAGTAAATACTAAAAAGCCTTGAATTCAAGAGAGTTTGAATCTCTAAATCCAAATAATTATATCAGCTTCAATGTTTTAAACAGCCCGAGGGCTACAACCCCAGTTCCATTTTTCAACCCCGCCTCCACTTTGCAAGCCTGGGGCGGCGAGCAGCGGGAGTCAGGACAGGCGCTCCCTTGGCCTTCCCCCCATTTCCCATCATGCTGACGTCATCACTCCGGCTGCGGCCCAGCTAGCCGTTCCGCCGCCCAACTCTATGATCGGCGTGGGCGGTGCCTAATTTATTTATAGACGGGGACAGCACTGGGAACCACGCGGGCGTCACACGGTGACGTAAGCGCGTCGAGGCAGCAGTGCCCCCACCCACTACCCCCTCCCAACCTTGCGTCGCGACGTCACGCGCCGTGCCTGCGTTCCCTGACGTCACGCGCTGGGTAGCGTGACGCGGCGTCCCTTCCTTCTGGGCTCACCGATAGCCCCGCCTTCTCCTCTCGTCGCCGGTTGATGACGCCTTTGGGCGGCGCCGGTGGCGGCGGCTCCTGAGGGAAGGAGGAGGCGGTGGCGGAGGAGGCGGCGCTGCTGGGAGCTGGAGCGAGAGGCCCCTCCCCTCCCCCGGCCTCCCTGCCGGACACGGTGAGCCGCCGCTTGGTGGGGAGGGGCCCTCCCCACCCCCGCCGCTGCACGCCCCTCGGCCGCCGTGGCCGCCTCTCCCCGGCGGGTCCCTCCGCCGTCCCTTCCGCTCTCCCCCGGCATGCTCCTGGCCACGCCCCCTCCCCAGGTGGGGGTCACATGGGGCTCCCCCTCCTCGCCGGGCCTCCTGGGGCTTCTTCCATCCCCCGGCTCCGTGGCTCTGCGGGTCCAGCCTCGCTCCCCCGAAAGCCCCTCCGGCAGCGCGCTCGATCTGAGCCCCTCATTTGGCCCCGGCCTGTAATGCGTGGGGTGGTGGTGGTAATACTCGTGGCCTACCTTGCAAGGAGGGCAGCGAAGAGCGTGTACGTTAAGGCTGGTGGCACGTGAAGGCAGATTCAGGGCGTGCAAAAAAGGAAGTGCTTCTTTACACAAAGAGTGACCAGAGTGTGGGGTTTGCTGCCAGAGAGCACAGTGATGGACGCAGGCATAGACAGCTTTAAAAGTCAGGAGACAGAAGTCATCCAGGAGGGGTCCATCTGTGACCATTAGTCGTGGTGGGTAAAGGGAACCTCCACATTCAGAGGCAGTCAACCTCTGAACCCCAGTGCCAGGAGGTAGCATCAGGGGAAGGCCTCGGGCTCTCTGCCCTGTTGTTGGCCATCCAGAGGAACTGGTCAGCCCCTGTGTTAGAAGACAGGATGCTGGACTAGATGGACCACTCGTCTGATCCTGCAGGGCTCTTATGTTCTTGAGGTGTCACTGTTATGGCTCCTCCTGCCAGGGAGGGAGGAAGACATCACTGGTTCCCTATGTACATTCCCCAATCTTTCTCATTTTTGCTCTTGAACTGGCCTCTGCAAACTGGCCCCTCGCTATAAAAATGAGGGGCATGATGCTGCTGCCTTTGGCTACTTGTGGTATGATGTGTAGACGATTGTGTGGTAGGAGGTGTAGGCGATTGTGTGCTGGAGAGGGCTTTGCAGCCTATTGAAAAGCAAAGTAGAGCATGAGGATGGAAGATATCAGAAAGAGTTATGTGCACGATCACACATCGGCAGAATAAGTCAGTCAGTGATGAAATAATTGGGTGTGGTCTATCGTTTGCTTTCTGGGAGTGAGAACCCCTTCTCTATAACCCCCCCCCCCCCCGGTTGTGTTTAAACTGCAATACTTATCCTTCTTTTCCTATCTCTTTTTACAGGGACGTTGGAGCCATGAAGGAAACCATTCAAGACAAAAAGTATTGGGGGTCGTCCCACGGCCTCCGCAACCCCATGGGGCCTCAAGGCAAGCTGTGCAGGTCTTCCCAGGAGTGGAGCGAACAAGAGCACAAGCACGGTGGTGGCTTTGAAGGAAGTCGGCACCAGGAGTACGGCAAGGAGCAGCCTTTGGGCTTTGACAGTGAAGAAGATGAAGAGGATGATGAAGGAGGAGGGAAATGGGATCTTCCCAGCATGTCCAGTTGGGGGGTTGCAGGAGGCACATCTGACCCATCCAGGAGCAAATCTCCCAGGGGAAAGATTGCAAGGAGTGGGGGCAGAGCTTGGCCATTTGAAGTAGGGACGGGCTCCAACCCCAGAGGGCGCCCACAGCTGCTGGGGAACCCCAGGCGCCGCTGTTTCCGTCGCAGGCGTCAGCGGGGTCTGCGGGCCTTCCGCATGTTGTTGTACGCGAAGAGCTCCTCCCTAGCTTTCCACTGGAAGCTGTGGGGTAAGATGGCCTCCAGAGGGCGCCGGCGAGGAGGGCCAAAGCGAGCCCGCTCGTCCCTCTCCCTTTCCCCTGGCTCCCAGCCCGATGAAGACCACCTTCCCCTTTACAAGAAAAACTGCCTCCTAGGGATGGAGGACTGTCCGGCGGGGGGAGCCAAGCGCCGCCCCGTCCCCTCTGAGCCCCACCTGGACTATGAATTGGATGGGGCCTTTCCTGCCTCTGCGACCTCACCCCAAGCATCCCGTCTCAGCTTGCTGGGAGCCCTGATAGATGAGACATCCCCCTATCCTCAGTATGTGGAGCTTCAGGGGGTCAGTTTTGACAAAGACCCCGGAGCTATGGAGGTCGATGAAGAAGCAGCTGCCCTGCTCAAGTACGCTGCCGGTGGAGCCCAGGCCTCCCCCCGGACTAGGAGGCTGAGAGAGGCGGAGCACATCCTGGACGGAGGTGGAGGTAAATTTGAAATGTCGCAGTGTGTGAGATAATATCTACAACACTTAATACCGTTCAAGGAGTCTGGTTTTTAACCAGCGCGTGCCCCTTCAGGAATAACTAGATGTTTCCCCTTGAGCGTGTGTGTGGGGTAGCCAACCGTAGTTCTGCTGTGAGCTGACAGGGAGACAGGCAAGGCTGCCACACTGGGCTGAAGCTCACAGGTTGCAATATGATTGGGGGTGCTTGTCTTACTGCCTTGGGTTTTTTTTTGGCAGGGTCAGTTTTGTTTTAGGGTTGTGAGTTGCCCTGGGCAGGTTTGGAGAGGCATCCAATAGACTAGGTAAATGTTTCCTTTACTAAGGAACTAAGATCACAGGGAAAGGTCCTCCTGACTGTCTTGTCAATCAAAAAAGCTTGTTTGGTGGGTACGAGAGAGAGGGCCTTTTCGGTGGCAGCCCCACGATTATGGTACAACCACCCCAGCAAGGTATGCCTGGCCCCCTCACTTCTGACGTTCAGGAGGTTTCATTTCGGATTGCATTTGATTAAGGCCGTCCTACACTGTGGTTTTAAATGTTTGCCGTATGTAATCTTATGCAATCTATTTTATCTATACTGTAAGCTGCCTTGAGCTCTTTAAGGAAGAAAGGCAGCTAATGAATGTTACACATAAATAAAATCAGTATTTGGCCTGGTGGTTTCAGGCGGGTCGCCGTGTTGGTCTGAAGCAGCTGAACAAAGTTTGAGCCCAGTGGCACCAACAAAGCTTTATTCAAGGTAGAAGAGCCAGTTTGGCGTAGTGGTTAAGCGCGCGGACTCTAATCTGGGAGAACCGGGTTCGATTCCCCACTCCTCCACTTGCAGCTGCTGGATGACCTTAGGCAAGCCATCGTCCTGACAAGAGCTGTTCTTGAAAAAGAGCCGTTTCTGTCAGAGCTCTCTGAGCAACACCTACCTCACAGGGTCTCTGTTGTGGGAAGGGGGGAGGGAAAGGAGTCTGTAAGCCGCTCTGAGACTCCTTTGGCTAGTGAAGGGCGGGGTATAAATCCAATCTCCTCTTCTTCTTCCTGCACATGAAAGCTTCTACCCAGAATTAAGCTTTATTGGTCTGAAAGGTGCCACTGGACCTCAAACTCTGGCCTGGTGGTTGTCAGACCTTCAGTCTCCTGACACCCCTCCTCCCTCTCTCCCTGTAGGCTCCCTGGACCCCCTCCCCAACGGCTTTGCATCCCTCACTCCTGACGGCGACATGTGCTCCCTCCCTGTAGTCGCAGATGCTACCATCCTCATCAGCAACGTCTGTAGCATTGGAGGCCACGTGGCTGAGGAGCTTTTCCACAGCCCCCGAGACAAGGACCGGGCAGCGGATCCCTCCGGCATCAGGCTAGAAGTGGGGAGCCAGCTGGCAGAGCTGCCCATGGAGGGTGTCCCTGAGCAGCTGGATGAGAAGGCCGCCCAGCACAGCCCACTGAGGGAGGAGCACCTCACTTGCGTGCAGAGTAAGGCGGGTGTTCGGGGGTGGGGTGGGGAGGCTGGTGTTACGTTCACCTGAGAAACTGAGGTGTCTTGGGGGTACAGCTTCTCCAAAGTCCGGTCATGGTCTATCCTCCTGTTTCCCAGCCCTCTCACGGGGGAGAAAGGGCATCTAAAATCATTACCAAAAAACACAGTGAGGAGCTGTGTGTAGGAGCAGAGAGTCAGTTTCGTGGGGAACTGCGAACGTAGCCTAGACAGTTTTGTGGGGAGCAGCATGTATGCTAGGTAACATTAACTCGCAGGTAAGTACAGAAACGAAAATCGCAGGGCACATAAAACATGGATTCTGATGTCTCTACACTAATGCACAGAGTATGGGAAACAAGCAGGAGGAACTTGAAGTCCCAGTACAGGAAGGGGACTATAACCTAATAGGCGTTACTGAAACCTGGTGGGATGACACTCACAATTGGAACATTAGGACTGAGGGGTATAACTCATTTAAATGGGACAGACTAATAAGGAAGGGGGGAGGAGTAACATTATATGTAAAGGAGGTATCTCCTTGTGAGGAAATACGTGAATCTGAGCGTGGAAGTCCAGTTGAGAGTCTCTGGGTAAAAATAAAAGGAGTAAGAAATAGTAGTGGTATCACGGTGGGGGTCTGCTGTAGACCACCAAGCCAGGCAGAGGACTTGGATGAAACAGTCCTAAAACAGATTACAAACTTCTCAAAGAGATGGGACCACCTCAATTCCCCAGATATCTGTTGGAAGTCCAGTCCTGCTAAAAATGAAAGGTCCAATAAATTCCTGACTTGTCTTGCTGAAAGCTTCATTTTCCAGAAAGTGGAGAGGGAAACAAGGGGATCTGCTATCTTGGACTTGATTCTTACCTGCGGAGAAGAACTGGTTGACAAGGTGAAAGTAGTGGGCACCCTGGGTAATAGTGACCATGTAATTTTGGAATTTACAATCTTGGGGAAGGGGAAAATTGTACGTAGACATACTGGTTGGACTTCAGGAAAGCAAATTTTAACTTAAAAGTTACACTGGATAGAATCCCGTAGTCAAAAATATTTAAGGCCGGGGTGTCAAACATTCGGCCTATGGGCCGGATCCGACCCCTGCAGGGCTCCTATCTGGCTGGTGAGCAACTGGCTTACTGCTGCTTCCTGCATCCTGATTCTTGCATCACAGCTCCTTTTGCCCAGTCTCTCCTAATTCCTGCTTCAAAGAGGAGAGAAACAAAGCCAAGCCTCCCTTCCCTCAATTGGCTGAGGGCTCCTCCCCCTCCCCCGGGGAGGGAGGGGAAGGGAAAGAGCCAGAGAGAGAGAGAGAAATGGGGTCCCCTGGCACTTTTAAGAAGACCAACTACAGCTCCGGTAACACGGGCCGAAAAATGCGGGGGGGAAGCGTGGCTGTTTGCCCCGGAGCAAAATGATGTGCGGCTGCGCGATCAGACGTCCCGTCGAGGTCCCGTGGTTAGGGGGGAGGTGCCGATCACATGGGTTTAACCCCTTCCAGGGCTGCAGAGGAATGCAAACTGTGTCCTCCGTCCAGTCCCCTCTAGGAGGAGCTTCAGCCAAGCCGCCCTCCTGCCACGCCCCCCTGCACCTCCCCCTCTGCCGCCCGGTGCAGAGAGTTCCTTTCGATCAGGCCGAGCCAGGAGTGGGGGGGTTATGAAAAAGAGGAGGGGGCTCTGCATGCACGGATGCATGTCTGGGGAGGGGGGGAGGGGGACAGGGAAGGCTCCGGATAAGCAACAGCCGGGAGAAGCGGTGCAGCAGCTGGAAGCCCCCCCCCCCAGGTCTCCTTAGAAGTAAGTCATGCACCGAGGGAGGGAGGGAGCGTCGTCGTGCCAAGCCGTGGGTGGCCACCAATGCGCCATCTAAGCTGCAGCGTCTTGCGAGCAAAAATCCAGTGAGCTCCTGGCATTAAAGTGATGAGCGAGCCATTTGGCTGCTGCATCAATCAGTTTGCTCTGGAGCCACATCCCCTTCCTGAGCAGAGACAAAAAAACATGTGAACTGGAAACGCGATCAGGTGCCCACCCTTGCCCCGCGGTTTCCGGAAACTAGTACCTCGGCGGTACTAGTTTTTTAAGCCGCATCTTTGGCGGGAAGCCTCGGGTTCACCACGGGAGTTCTACGCTTCCCAGATGTTGCAGTGTGATCGCGCCTGGAAAATCCGCCTATCTTCCGTCTCTGTAGCGTGGCTAATGCCCCGTGTGACTGCAGCCTACATTTTATTCCAGGTATAAGCTTTTGTGTGCAAGCACACTTCTGAGGGGAAGGGGAAGAGCCAGAGAGAGAGAGATGGAGTCCCATGGCTCTTGGAGAGATCCCCCTTTCCAGTTCTAACAGATGGCCGGGGTGGGGAGAGGAGGAAGAAACCTAACAGCACAGCTTGCATTCTTTATAAGCGGTAGGGAGCAAGAGTCCAGTAATACCTTAAAGACTAACCAGTTTCGTAGCAGGGCATGAGCCTTCGTGAGTCACTGCTCACTTCTTCAGATACAGCTAGAATGTGAGTCCATCTGTCCTTACATCTTGGAGAGTGAAGTGATTTCAGATGCCAAATGACAATATCAGGCATTGGCAATGAAGTAGAAGAAGAAGAGATTGGCTTTTTATACCCCACCCTTCACTCGGGTCTCGGAGCGGCTTACAAACTGAGAGAGCTCTTTCAAGAACTGCCCTTTCAAGGACAGCTCTTGTCAGAACTGTGGCTTGCCCAAGGTCATCCAGCAGCTGCGAGTGGAGGAGTGGGGAATCAAACCCGGTTCTCCCAGATTAGAGTCCACACATTTAACCACTACACCAAATGAAAGAAGAAATCGAGGTCTCAGTTCAGTCCAGGAGGATGCATTGTCTTGAGCTTCATGATCAGTTGCAATTCAGCAGTCTCTCTTTCTAATCTCCCTTTGAAATTCCTTTGTAAGTGAACTGCCACTCTTAGGTCAACACCTGAATGTCCTGGAAAGTTAAAATGTTCCCCCACTGGTTTTTGAATGCTGTGGTTTCTAATAGTAATATAAAGAGTAAGAGTCCAGTAGCCCCTTAAAGGTATAGGTTCCCTTGCTCGAAAGCCAGTCGAATCCGACTCTAGGGTTGCGGTGCTCATCTCCGTTTCAAAGCCGAAGAGCCAGCGCTGTCCGAAGACGTTTCTGTGGTCATGTGGCCGGCATGACTAAACACCAAGGTGCACGGAACGCTGTTACCTTCCCACTGAAGTGGTGCCTATTTATCTACTTGCAATTTCTTGCTTTCGAACTGCTAGGTTGGCAGGAGCTGGAACTAGAGACAGGAGCTCACCCTGTCTTGTGGCACCCCTGGGTCTCGAACTGCTGAACTACTGACCTTCCACAGCCTGCAGTTCAGCGTCTTAACCATTTGAGCCACCACAGCTCTAGTAGCCCCTTAAAGACTAACAAAATTTGTGGTAGGGAATGAGCTTTCGTGAGTCACTGTTCACTTCTTCAGACTTATTTCCATTTATTCTTTGCATTTACGTCAGATCCGGCCCTCGTAACAAATGATTTCGATGCCTCTGACTTAAGGAGAAGGGAGTTCATGAGGGGTGGGAGTTTCTTAAAAGTGAAATATTAAAGGAACAATCAGAAACTATTCCTATGAGAAGGAAAAATGGGAGAAGCCCAAAGAAGCCAAGGTGGCTCCATAAACAGCTTTCTAAAGACTTGAGAAATAAAAAAAGATTCCTCATTTAGGAACCAAGGATGAATATAAACAAATATATAAACAAATAACGAGTGCTTGTAGAGAGAGAGAGAGTTAGGAAAGCTAAAGCTCAGTGTGAGCTTAGGCTAAAAAAAAAAGTTCTTTTCTTATGTTCAAAGTAAGAAAAAGAGCAAGGACATGGTAGGCCCATTGCAGGGACAGGAAAGTGAAATTGTAGCAGGTGATGAAGAGAGGGCAGAACTGCTCAATTCCTACTTTTCATCGGTCTTCTCTTGCCAGGGAAATGGTGCTCAACATGGCAAAACCAGGACACATGATGAGGGAAGGGAGTTGCAGCCTAGAATTGGCATAGGTGTAGTACATAAACACCTAGTTTCTTTAAATAAAACTAAGTCTTCAGGGCCAGATGAACTGCATCCAAGGGTACTAAAAGAACTCGTGGATATAATTTCTGAGCCTTTGTCTATTATTTTTGAGAATTCTTGGAGAACAGGTGAAGTGCCAGGAGGCACACAAATGTTGTCCCCATCTTCAAGAAGGGGGAAAAGGAGGATCCGGGTAACTACCGAACGGTCAGCTTGACATCTATACCTGGAAAAGTTTTAGAACAAATCATCACACATTCAGTCCTTGAGCACTTAGAAAGGACTAAATGTAATTACTAAGAGCCAGAATGGGCTTCTCAAGAACAAGTCATGTCAGACTAACCTTATCTCTTTTTTGAGAAAGTTACTACTTTGCTGGATCAGGGGAATTCTGTAGACATAGTTTATCTTGATTTCAGTAAGGCTTTTGATAAGGTTCCACATAATAGTCTTGTTGGCAAATTGGTAAAATGTGGTTTGGATCTTATTACTGTTAGGTGGATCTGTAACTGGTTGACAGATTGCACCCAAAGAGTGCTTGTTAATGGTTCCTCATCCTCTTGGAGAGGAATGACAAGTGGAGTGCCTTAGGGATGTGTCCTGGGACCTGTTTTGTTCAGCATCTTTATAAATTGTTTGGGTGAAGGAAAGAGGGAATGCATATTTAGTTATTTATTCAATTTATACCCCGCCCTCCCCGCCAAGGCAGGCTCAGGGTGGCTTATATAAAAGTACATATAAATACAATTAAAACCTTTCATAAAAACAACCATAAACAAATCAATTGTCAGTTGCTGGAACAATACTCGAATAAAATGCGAGAGCAGAGGTTTCTAGCTTAAACAGTACTATTTTATTAAATTTAAAGTGATGAAACTAAATCGGGAGGGGTAGCAAATACGATAGAAGACAGAGTCAGGATACAGTATGATCTTGACAGGCTGGAAAACTGGGCTAAAACAAATAGAATGAATTTCAGTGGGGATGAATGTAAAATTCTGCATCTAGGTAGGAAAAATCAAGTGCATAATTATAGGATGAGGGAGACTTGTCTTGGCAGTAGTATGTGCAAAAAGGATCCAGGGGTCTTAGTAGACCATACACTGAACATGAGTCAGCAGTGTGATACGGTAGCTAAAAAGGCAAATGCAATTTTGGGCTGTATCAGCAGAAGTATAGTGTACAGATCATGCGAAGTGATGGTATCGCTTTAGTCTGCTCTGGTTAGACCTCACCTAGAGTATTGTGTTCAGTTTTGGGCACCACAATTTAAGAAGGATATAGACAAGCTGGAACGTGTCCAGAGGAGGGCAACAAAGATGGTGAGGGGTCTGGAGACCAAATCCTAAGAGGAAAAGTTGAAGGAGCTGGGTATGTTTAGCCTGGAGAGGAGACAACTGAGAGGTGATATGATAACCATCTTCAAGTACTTGAAGGGCTGTCAAATAGAGGATGGTGCTGAGTTGTTTCCTGTTGTCCCAGAAGGTTGGACCAGAACCAACAGGTTGAAATTAGATCAGAAGAGTTTTTGGCTAAACATTAGGAAGAACTTCTTGACAGTTTGAGCGGTTCCTCAGTGGAACAGGCTTCCTTGAGAGGTGGTGAGCTCTACTTCTCTGGAGGTTTTCCAACAGGCTAGATAGCCATCGGACAGCAATGCTGACTCTGTGAACTTAGGCCGATCATGAGAGGGAGGGCAGGAAGGGTTGCCTCAGTGCTTAGTCCTTGTGGCCATTTCTTACACGCCCAGGGAAATGCTGATTGCCACGTTGGGGTCAGGAAGCAATTTTTCTCCAGGCCAGTTTGGCGGGAGATCCTGGAGGTTTTTTGTCATCTTCTGGGCATGGAACAGGGGTCACTGGGGGTGTGAGTTTTTGTGAATTTCCTGCATTGTGCAGGGGGTTGGACTAGATGACCCTGGAGGTCCCTTCCAACTCTATGGTTCTAAACTGTTGGTTTTGTTTGAGGAGGTTACTCTCTCATCTTGGCTTCTGTGGTCCTCTTCAGCAGCCGGGAGATCCAAGAAAAGAGCAAAGATGCTCCCACAGGAGGCTGTGAAAGAGAATTTTATTTTTTAAAAGGAGGCTCAAGTTTTAAAAGAAGATCAATGCTATGCTGGGGATTATTAGGAAGGGTATTGAAAACAGATCAGCCAATATCATAATGCCCCTATATAAATCAATGGTGCTACCTCATTTGGAATACTGTGTGCAATTCTGGTCACCACACCTTAAAAAGGATATTATAGCTTTGGAAAAAGTGCAGAAAAGGGCAACTCGAATGATAAAAGGGTTGGAACACTTTCCCTATGAGGAAAGGTTAAGGTGCTTGGGGCTCTTTAGCTTGGAGAAATGACGACTGAGGGGTGACATGATCGAGGGTTACAAGATTATGCATGGGAAAGAGCAGGTAGAGAAAGAGGTACTTTTCTCCCTTTCTCACCATACAAGAACTCCTTGTGGGCACTCCATGAAATTGCTGAGCGGTCGGGTTAGAACGGATAAAAGGAAGTACTTCTTCACCCAAAGAGTGATTAACACATGGAATTCATTGTCACAGGAAGTGGTGGCGGCTACAAGCATGGACGGCTTCAAAAGGGAATTAGATAAGCATATGGAGCAGAGGTCCATCGGTGGCTATTAGCCACAAGGTATAGATAGGGGCTCTGGGGCAAGTGATGCTCTGTCTTCTTGGTGCTTGGGGGGGGGGGTCAACAGTGGGAGGGCTTCTAATGTCCTGGCCCCACTGCTGGACCTCCTGGTATTTCTGGCCACTGTGTGACACAGAGTGTTGGACTGGATGGGCCATTGGCCCGATCCTCTTATGTTCTTAAGTTGGGGGTTTAGTGATATCTGAGCCACTTGCCTTCCCCTCTTTCTCCAGAGAGTTCAGCAGACCTCAGGGGTGGTGTCCCGGCCTTCAGCATCTGGACCGCTTTGGGCCTCTTGCTTGCGTCTCTCCTCTCCGCCCACCCTGTTCGTTGTAATCCGATGGAGGGGTGTGTGGGTGTGGCCTCAGCTTTCTTCTCCTGCCCTTCCTCCCAGGCATCCTGGACGAATTCGTGCAGACGTATGGCAGCCTCATTCCCATCAGCACGGATGAAGTGGTGGAGAAACTGGAGGACATCTTCCAGCAGGAGTTCTCCACGCCCCAGAGGTGTGACTCTTCTCTTCTCTTCCCCTCCCCGCTTCCCTTCCAGCATCGCCCTGTGAGCGCAGGAATTGCCTTGCAGAGTATCTGTCGCTATGTCCCCGGGATTGGTGCGGCTGTTCCTGCCCTGGGGGGCAGGCAGGGTGGGTTGGGGGGGGGGCATCCGCTACACTTGGTGAATGGCAGACATTTGGTGGACTGGGGGTCGGATCTGAGTGGCAGGCAGTCTGGGCTTCTGTGTCCTCCTAAAAAGGCCACGAGAAGTCAAGTCGTCTTTCTTGCCTGTGCTGCCTTTAATGGCTGGATAAAGTGGGAACCGGGGAACTTTATTTCAGCCTGGAATTGTAACACAGTGTTGGAGAAATCCTTCAGATCTGTGCTGGAGTTAAATGTTTCAGAACTGTGCA